GAAGCTCCATAAAAATTCTCCCCATTCGAAAATCAAACTACTGTCTCCTGTGTGCAACAGCAAAGTTTTAGTTTTAGTAGAGGTTTTAGGGCGCTTGCAACTGCATAAGGTCAAATGAGCGCCAAGGGGATGATGTCAACAGAGAAGACCTTACAGGGAATCAGGTTTACTCTGCTCACCTCTCTAGGTTCAACAGCACAAAGTCTGCTTCGACTATCAAGGCATCCCGGAATAGTGGGTCACAAGAGTGTGACAAACATACAAAAGTAGAGGATAAATGACGATAGTAAGGATTAGGAAAGAAAAAGCAGCAGTACCTGTTGCAGTTCAGGCACAGTTATGAGCATGACATTGATGAAAAAGCCCATTTACAATTTAAAATTCTGCTGTGCATAAGAACATATTAAATTAATGTCCTCCCTTTGGGAATGGCCTAAAGACATTTCAGTCAGTAGCACCGCCCCGGGGGCTTAGGGTGAAAGAGGTGAACGGTGATGATGATGATGACAATAAGGAGATGGGCTCCCAACAGTGTGTCAGAGCCAGCACAGGACAAGAAAGATACAAAATCCCAGTACAAAGACAGAGAAACTCCTTAAAAATTCTCCTCATTCGGAAATCAAACTACGGTCTTCTGTGAGCAACAGCAGAGTGCCTAACCGCTGCATCACAGACATTAGTCATGATGATATAATATAGGGTCAGTTTAACACTATTTAAAACCATGCAAATTTATTCAAAGGAGAAAGGTCTCCAAATTTATCCTCTCCTTTTGACAGGAATAAACCAAGTGAGCCTTGAAAACTTCCTAAAGAGTCAAAGAGGCATGGGGATTCGAACCTCCGTAATCTGCACCATCATTCAGTTAGAGGATACCAACTGAACCATAGCACCCATTCGAGTTTAGGTTAGTAGTTTAGTTTAGTAGAATTTTTACAATGCTCGCAACTGCATAAGGTCATATGAGCGCCAAGGAGTGTATGTCAGCAGAGAAGTCTTTACAGGGAATCAGACTTACTCTGCTCACCTCTCTAGCTTCAACAGCACAAAGTCTGCTTCGCCTATGTGTGACAGCCTCATTCTTTGAACATGAGCAGACACAGAATATGAAACAGACAGCTGGGAGGGGGAAAAACAACAACTTTACAATACTTTCCCGGCAACAATGTACATGATGTCTTCCTTACACATATTTTGGCTAATGGTGTTAAGGTAAAGATACCCATATATATATCACAATTCAAAGTATATATATATATATATCAATATATATCAACAATGTCGCAACCAGCATAAACTAATAAACTTACTAAATAACACAGACTGTACACAGAGGATTTTCCCATGCACAAGACCATGTTTATGAGAATACTGTTACACTACTCTCCCTCTTCCTCTCATATTATAGGGAGCCGATACCTTTCTTTATGTCCTTCTACTTTCAGCTTTTTCCCCTCTTCTCTCTTTTACATCTCTCACAATATGTCCATTCGGGCACATAATATTGTCACTGCGCTAGCAAACTGGCATAACTCAGAGTTAGCTAAAAATGCAACTAGCCTTTTATTTTGTTTGGTGGTAATATATATATCTTTTGGCGAAATCGAAACAAAAGTATGCTAGCAGTAAAAAAGAAATATGCATAGTCTAGTTGTTGTTGTTGTTGTTATTATCGATCCAGCAACTGCTGGGCTGTCGTCATTCTGTCCAATGCCATGTAGTGATAAGTGCAGGTTTGCTGCAGTTGTTGCAATGTTCCATAGAGTGTGTTGTCAATGTCAGGTCTCGGAGGGAGAAGTGCAGCTCTGATGTCATGTAGGGCTGTACAGTGGAAAAGGTGATGATCTAGTCTCATAAAGCATAGTCACACAAAGGACACATTGGGGGAAGTTGTAGATTTATTCTCTTCAGGTGGAAGTTGAGCTGTATATATATATATATTGTTCGTACGCGTAAGATCATGGTCTGTTTCTTTCTCTGTAGGAGGTTGATATTGCCATTTCCTTTTGTTGTGGTTATATATTTAAAAACTGCTCTGCCCGTCTTTCCCAATGCCCATCTGTCCATCCAATCTAGTTTGCTGTTGCTTTTAATGATTTGTTTGGCAGTGTTGTATCAGGCTGGAGTGTTGGGCTGTTCCTCTCTAGATCCTCGTTTGGTGAGTGTGTCTGCTCTGCATAGTCTTGTTAAACTTTAAAAGTTTATTTTCCCTTTATCTCAAATTTAGCAAAAATGGTATGTGCCATTTGCTAGCGCAGTGATGATATAATACGACAAATTTTACACTTAGAAAATGTAGGAATATATTAACAACTAAAACTAACATTCTTTAGCAAATGATGCGTCTGATGCTTTTGTTCAAAAGTTGAAAGCTGGGAACTTGTTGCATATATATATTACAGGGTACCTGTTTTAAAAAAAAAGGGCAAAAAGGGACCAAATGTTATAGAACTGGTTCCTGAAAAGACACAGAGGCGAGTAAATAGTAACAAAATGCTGACAAACTTGAAGCAAGCCAAATTGTGGAAAAACATTTCTGGATGGACAGAACAGATGTCAAAAACATAAGGGAAGAACATGTTGAGGAGGAAGAGGTATGCTTTGTCTTTCTGCTTTGTCTTGTCTCACACCCAGCCCAACAATGGGCATTTGAAAACACTGTTCAAATATCTCTTGTAGATGGAGTCTTATTACACTACCCAATACAATAGACTGTTTAAAGAGTCTTGCCAGTACAATACATCTCTATACTGGACCAATGACATCTGATAATTTTGAGACATCTAAAGCAAAGACTCATTTACTTCCTACTACTACGTTTCAATACAGATCAAAGGAACTAAGTCTATTTCTTTAACTTAAATTTACCTTCACCTCAACCGGTATGACTAGGAGAAATTCCTGGCATAAGAAAATTAAGGTATAATCCAGTGGTTGTGTGAGAGTACATAAGAAATGAAGCTCTGAAAATACAAGTCTTTGAGAAACAGAACAGGGCATCAATACAATATTCAGAAAGAACTAACAAAGTTCATCTGGGTAGTTCACAGGTTGGCCACATCTTTAAATTGAACTCTGACCCAAAGAATCATAACAGATTGCCATTCCTCGAGCCAAACGTGTCTTCCAACTGTCTACAGCACAGTTCTCAAAAAGTCCTGGCCCACAGGCTAATTGAGGCTTGCCCGATGATATTTTGCGGCACTCACTCGACATCAAAGTTTAGCATAGGTGGAGTCCACCCTAATCCCAAATGTGGCCGAGCAATGAAAGAGGAAATGCTGCCAGGTCTCTGACAGCAACGAGTAGGTAAGATAGGTCTGTGTTCTGAAGAACCGTTCATGTTCTGAATTGCTATGAAATAAACATTAAGATCATTAGGTCAGTTGGATGTTTTTAATCATATTTTTAAAATGCTCAAAACCTTTTTTGTGGAATACTGGATGCAGCTCAGGCTCACCCAGTCTCTACCTTCAGTGGCCTCCGCGAAATTGAACTTTGATTAACCCGACATCTCAGGACCACTACATAATCTCAGTGTTGACGACATAGTGCTGATTAGTGAAGTCAGCAAAATGTTTTTTCAGTGGGTGACTGCACAGTTAACCGGTTGCCGTAAATTCAAAGAATTCATAAATTGAAAGAAGAAAAAAATGAACAATAATAAAAGACAATGACTGACCCCTTTCCAAGAATTTCCCCCTCAAGATAGCCGAGAATCATATGTGTCACGCCGCAGAGGAATCAGACACTTGCCAATTTTTGGGTCTATGGAATTATTGGTATCACCTTAAAGGTTGTTCATTTGCCTTGCTTTCGATGAAAAAAATGTCCATTTATCTTGAACAGAAATTGGGAAGTTTGCGATTAAAGGAGGTGGGGTCGCCTGGTTTCAGAAGTAAAATTAGCGAGAAAATGTCCGCAAAAGTTTGGTGACTTCCACAGCTTAAGAGCTCTTGGAAACTGCAAATGTTCATTTTCTGTGTCTTTGATGAACGTTTTTCCACACATAAAAGTGTTTTGAATGGACATACAAGGTGTTGACCAAAAAAAAAAAATTTTTTAATAATTCCAAACTGGCCGAAAAATGACAATTTCTTGGATATCATTATTTTGACTCACATATTTGACTTTTTCTCAATATCAAGGGATTAGAGTATATCAAAAATACAATGGATGGGAGCTGGGATTCAAAAGCACAAAGATGTTCTCATAATAATAATAATAATAATAATAATAATAATAATAATAATAATAGGAGAAACAAGGGGAAAGGCAAGGGAAAAAAGTGATGGTGCAGATATGAAACCCAGGGCACCACATCCATCAGCTCAAGTTGTACATAACTATACACCCACTGAGTTAAACAAACCATAATGGCTGTATTTTACCATTCGCGTATAGCAAAAAAACAACCCCAAAAACTTTAATTTTGCTCTCAAATATCAGGGGAGGCACCTGTACGCACAGATGCCTCTGTTAAGTTATTGTTCCCCTCGTCGTATGGAAAATAGAATCATGAAAGAAAAGAGAAACAATATCAAGAATACGATTACGATGAAAGCAACCACTAATGGATTTAGACACTGCTTGAGAGTGACGAGAAAGGTCAGAAATATCGTCAATAGTGCTCAATTATTCACGATGTAGACAGGAGTGGGTATGTTGTTCTTTGGGATGAATGGTGTCTCTACATGATGTCCCTACTTATTACACACCCCCCAGACACTAGTGAACTGACATATATATAATGAAAACCCCCAAAATCTGGGTTAGCCCGCTTGTCCTTAAAAGCGACCATATATAATGAGGAAAACTATCATGGTCAGATATGCTGTATAATCTCAGAGGAGCGGTTGGGTGTGCATGTGCATGTGTACTAGTACCGAAGAATGAGTGTGTGTGTGTGTGTGTGTGTGTGTGTGTGTGTGTGTGTGAGTGTGTGTGTATGTGTCTATGAGAAAGAGGGGAGGGAGGGGGGGGGGAAGAGAGTGAGAGAGAGAGAGAGAGAGAGAGAGAGAGAGAGAAAGAGACACAGAGAGAGAGAGTGACAATGTGGGAGGGACACAAGACTATTGACGGATCACTTCTTGCAAGGCCTGAGGTGCAGCACAGCATTGGGCGTGAGGCCGCTGGCCTCCAGTGTCATTGTGTTGTTACTGTGCACTTTGTGAGGGAACGTGGAGACAATGTCGTAGGGCGTCGTCGGCCGCCGCTGAGTGTCCAGATATGAGCGCAGGTCGCCTACGGTCTCCGTGAACTTCATCTTGACGATGTACGTGTGGTTCCCCGTCTCCGTGACGACTCGCAGAGTGGTGACCTCGCTGTGGCCGCGGTAGGATTTTGGCCGCTCAAGCGGCGTTGTGAAGTCGGTGGATGCCAGGACGCTGTCCGACATTTCCTTGGTGACCGTGGTGCTCACCAGACTCACGTTGGGTTTGGAGGAAGAATCGTCGCCCCCCGCGAGCACCCGCCCCACCGAGTCCCGCACGTCGATGACTTTCCCGTCTTTGATGACAGACTTGGGCAACTTGTTGAGGAACTGGGCCGGAGTGAGGGGCTTGCCCGGCAGCTGAGAGGTTGTGCACACCTTGTCCACACCTGAGAGCAAGTCAAGTTTCAGACGAGTTTCTTTTGGGGTTTTTTGAGTAAAGAGAAACACATTTACAACAATAACATATATATCATTTATAGAGCGCTAAACTTTGATTAACACTATGCAGTCACATAGCCAACAGTACAAAATACCCCATCTGGTCACCCAGCCAGGAGAGCAACTGCAACGCTCTTCTCGGGCCTGGTGCACTTCTGCCCCAGCTGACCAGAATGGATCATTCTCACAGGCACATTATTGCGCCAAGAGATCGCAAAGTGTTAAGCGCACAGGCTCTAAGCCCATAGTTATAATAACTGTCAATTAATGATGGGAAAAAGTAAGGCAGAAAGACAGAAACAACAGAAAGTTAAAAAAAAGAAGGATGTACAAAGGTGCCCTCCGAACACCAACGCTTGACAACAAGTTAAGTTTAGGACAAGTTCGTTGGAGCAAAGAGAATCCACCACCACAATAACAGCGGTCATACAGAGCTGTAAAATAACGAAGACAGGCAGATACAAAGAATAGTGGGATAGTGACGAAATAACTCCTACCAGTAGTGTACTCCAACCACAGGAATAAGTCTGAGAAAGGGGGAAAAAAACTTTGAAGTCCAATCAAACATGCCATGACGGCCACCTGTATGGTACGGCCACCTGTTCAAATGGCAACTTTCCATCCCCCCCCCCCTCCTGCATTTTTTTTCTATATAATTTAACTGTGTAAAACGGTCATCTGTCCAAAGCGTCCCCCCCTCCACCACCTTTTCAAAAAAACCAGAAACCCTTTTGAATTAGCCTTACGGCAGCCCTAAGCCTAAGATCAGCCCCACTTTGAACCTCAGAAGAGCATAATTTGCTTTCTTCATTTTGACCAGTCCCGCTTAAGACAGCTATCTTTCTCCATGAAAATGGGCGGCTGTTTTACATTGGTTTGACAGAAGTATAAAAAGAGAGCAAAATCCTAAGCTGTATTATGACACGGTTTGAAGACAAGAACAAAGAGAAAATGGAGAAATGGGGAGCATGTGAAGAGAAGGGAAGAGCACAAAATCACAAAAAATGCACACAAAATCCAAAGTAGAGCAGAATTTAAAAAAAAAAAAAATTTACTGTGTTTGAGCAGAGCATCTCTTATAATACAAACAAGAAACAAGGTATCCCGCTTCTCAAACAAAAACAGTGCTATATAAAAATGCAATCTGTTATTATTATTATCTAGGCTGTCCCCGTGGTTTTATGCACCCCGCATAATTAAGTAAAATTTGATCGTTTTTTTGATAATTTCTGATTATTTTCCTTTATCATTCTTTGTTAAAATTAACACAATCGCATAATTTCACATTTTTGGGCTCAGTTAGCATAGTTTCAGAATTTTTTTCCTGCAAAAAACGATGGGGACAGTCTAGGGTACGTACCAGGCTGCGGCATGGCCATCTTCCTGGTCGGGTCGGAGTAGTTGGAAGGTATGAGCCTCGAGGGTTTGGTCTCCCCTCCCAGGGTCTGACCCTCCCCGGTGAAAGCCAGCAGGCTCACCTTGGGCTGGAAGTAGGTGTTGCGCAGGTCCGTCACCACGAAGGGGACTCCGTCAGGGTACCTGGCAGACACGAGAGTAAGAAATTGGGACACCGCCTTCGACAGTCGTTAGTTTTATGACCTAACAGCTTTTCCTCAGATTGCTAAACTACCCTACTGGCACTGAAATCGTGTTCATATTAAGCCACACATAAAACCTTAAAGAATTATACAACATAGTTGCTTTTTTAAAAAAATGGAGACGTTTCACTCAGCATTTGCCAGCACCAATATTTTCCCAGAGAGGCGGTTCACGCACCCCCTGCGAGCACAATTTTCGTGTCTTTCCGTGGGTAAAGTATGCTCGCAAACACTGCCTGAACCGTCTCTTATCGTGCAGTCGACCTTTGTTCCATTTCATGTGAAGTTTCACTGGAATTGGATGGAAACTTTTTCAGTTATCGAGGCGGAAGGAAAGGTAGTCACACTGATGTGCTACTTTTGTTTCTATGACTAGTGTCCGTTTTCACAACACTTTGTCAGTACCATGGCAGCACGTTTAGTTTTAGTAAGGGTTTTACGGCACTTGTAACACAGTAAGGTTATATAAGTGCTGAAGATTAGAGTTGTTACAAGAGAGTAACATGCACAAAAAAGAAGAAGGAGAAATCAGGACGAGAGGTGTTTGATAGGAAAGAAGGAGCAAACCACACCAGAGCACCTGCCAACCACCCACTTGGAAGTATAAAAAGCAAACATTTTTCAAATGTTTGACAACTTTGACAGTTCAGAAAATTCTGATCATGATGTTTTAGACCATGGGGATCCTGATCTCAATGTAAATGAGCATAAAAGCACTGATTTTGATAGAGAATGTTCTAGATCTAGACTAAGCTTCCAAATGCAAAATTTCGCTTTGTCAGGAGCCCTGTTTTTTTTCATACTGAAGTGAATTACACAGCTAATACACATGGATTACCATATTGATTACCTGCCTATTCAAGAGTTTGAACTTTTTATTAATTCTGAAATACAAAACACATAAAAGGTTGATTTTTTTGTGTTTTGTTGGGTTTTTTTTTTACACAAGACATTACGCCAAAAAACGTTGTCGAGCAGCAAATGTTAACACATTTTCAAAAAATCATTTCTAAAAAACTTGTTTTTCTGTCTCCAATTGGGCATGTTTACTTATGTGTGTAAAAATGGTGGTTGTACGTCTTTGGGAAGGGTGTTGCTTGAAATATTGAAATACCCCCAAAAATGCCAGTCTCCAGTGCGTGAAGACCCGAAAAAGGCCCAGTCTCCAGTGAGTTAATAGACACTTTTCTTTACATGCATTGATCACAAATTTAGAAATGAACACCCCCCCGAGATAAACAAAATTTTTAAAGGCCGTAAATTTTGTATTTAAAACAATACTTAAAATCATTTATCTAGCCAAACTTACATTAAAACTTTTTAAACATGAATAAAAATGCGCAAAATCTGAATAAACTATGATATGGTCATATTCAGTGCACCCACTTGCAGAATAAAAACATTAGTCCCCCCAGTCACCGTAGATCATCATAGGACCAAAGCCACCTAGCACCAGATGAGTAACCTTCAGGACAGCGCTCATATGACCTTATGCAGTTGTGAGCACCGTAAAACCTCTACTAAAACAAAAAGGACAGGAACTCATCATCAACCTAACTCATGACACTTTACCTGCTCTGAAGCTCGGAGGGAAAGTATCCATCCAGTATGTCCCGAATGCACTGTCGAGTGGTCGGCTCTGTGTAGGGCCGGAAGGGTCCGTCAAACATGAGCATCCCATTGGCATATATTGTCAGCTGCACCGATTCCGGCACCTCGAACCTGGCACCGTCCGAAGTCTTCTTGATCTGCGCTAGTCCAGCCCCGGCCATAACATTCAAGTCCTTGATGTTTTCCATGAGAAGATTGAAGTCAATGTTGAAATGAGAAGAAGCTTCGGGAAGAGATGTGTCTTGCCGCCACAGGCCAAATGGGTCGGATGAGGCTATGGAGTTATCCGGAGAGCCACCGGTGCGCACAGACGTCTCCGTCAAGTTGTTGTTCTCCTCGTCATCTCCTTCCTCGTCATCGTCCAGGCCGTCATTGACATAAACGTCAGAGTTGTCGTTAGACTGGTCCCCGACCCACACCATTCCATACTCAGCCAAGAATGTCTCCATCTCGTGTACCTGGAAAGTAGAATATGAGAGACAATTCCTTTTCAGATGTAGAACAAATAATCTACTTAATAAATTCTTTACAATTTTAACACTTGTATGGGTAAAAGAACACAAGAAAGAGAGAAATTTAAAAAGGTCAGAAGAAATTATGAAAAGACATGGTTGATAGGTGTAAATTGATGTACGGATTAGAAAAGTGGAAAGACATGGAATAACATCAAGAGGCTAGCCCAGGGTAAGGAAAGGTGGAAAGTGTTTGTGGCCTGTACGCAGACCCAGGGTGAGAAAGGCGTTGATGACGATGATGATGATGATGATGTTTACTTAATAAGACACAAAAAGGGGCACAGAGGTTAACCATGGAGATGCAGCCCGAAATAAACACATGCAACGAGCCAACATGTCCTAAGTTTGCTCACAGTAACCTTTTGTTTTAGTTTTAGTTTTTAGTAAGAGTTTAACAGCACTTACAACACAGTAAGGTCATATAAGTGCCGAAGATTAGAGGTATTACAAGGGAGTAACAAACACAAAAAAGAAGGAGGAGAGATCAGGATAACAGATGTTCGATAGGAAAGAAGGAGCAAACCACACCAGAGCCCCCGCCAATAACTTCTTCCTATCACAAAAGACGTTGCAGGAGACTGCATTCATCCGCATTTTTAATGGGAAAGGCAAACATGAAAACCGAATACAAAGCTCACTCATTTTGTAAATTTTGTTTTATTACAGCGTCTTAACCCGTGGTATCGGATGAATGTGCTCAAGAAATATTTTTCCAAAATTTAAATCCTAATTGTTGAAAAAAAAAGCAAAAAAAGATACATAAATGAGGATTCAATTATTTAAAAAATGAAACAATGTTTTCTCTCTCCTAAACAATTATGCTTTCTCAGCTTGGAACATTTAAACATCTTGACGACAATAAGATCTTATCATTGACGGGGGGAGATCAGACAGAGAAATATTATACCGATACAGAAATTTCTCAAACTGTAAGAAAGCAGCGCATGACACATCAAAGATTCAATTTTTAAAAATAACCTAAAAAAACAGCAATCAATAAGTTTATATATAAGACACAAACCTGTTGTTGAAGCAGCAAGCAATGCGTCTCCAAGTCACGAATCCCACTTGAATTGCCATTCCCGCTTTCACGGCGTGCTTTCTCTGCAATGCGAAGTTTATCTTCCAACACTTTGATCTGACGGTCCTTGTTTCTTATCTCCTGCTCTTGAGTAACGCTCTGTAATGTTCACGGCAAAAAACAATGTAATGAATCACTTCGGAATCACACAAAATTCTGTCTTTAAATCAGTATCTTCCTTGTCATTAAGTCAGAAAAAAAAGCATGACAGTTAAAAAAAAAAAAAAAAAACGTAATAAAAGGAGGAAATTCTTTTCAGGAAAATGAATATAGAGCACAGTGTCCTACACTACCCTCAGAGAGAGTGTATCTCACAGTGCACAGAAAACATGTGCACTGAAATCATGACAGAAGAATCAAATCTGTCCTTTCAGCTACATAGACCCTACCAAAGCAAGATGCTGAGTAATTGACAGCAATTACCAGATTATTCCCTTGACGTCACAAGATAAAGTGGATCAAAGACTTAAAGTAAAAAATAGCAAATGGGAAAGAAAATTAAGTAAAGTACATTGGAAATTATTTGAACACAGCAAAACACATTTTCAAACACACACAAAAAAGGTCACTTACTGTCAGAGTTTTTCTAATGCATACCCCCAAAATGACTCCCTTTAACTTTGTGGTCGTTGACAGAGATGGTAAGTCTATTTCATTTTCCATGCTATAATGAAACAGAGAGCATATCATACAAAACACAATGTAAAACATGAAGGGCTTGCAACGATGTTAGGTCAGAATTTACAAAAACCTTCTGTTCCAGCTGAGCGATCCTGTTCATCATCAGCCGCATCAATTCTTGGTCATTGGGAGGCGGTGACGCTTCAGAATCATCTTCTCCACCGGAGGCTTCCCCAGGCAATTTCCCATCAGAACCCGGGATCTGTCCGGGCCCAAGAGGAGCCATCCCATTAAAAGGGCTCTTCTTTCGCTTCTCTTGGATCATGCTTGTCGTAATCTCTGCAAGCAAACGACTCTCATCTTCAGAGTACTCTGGGTGGCGGAAGGGAATTGGCCGATTACCAGTCATGTGGCCAGGGAAGAGGGGAACTTTATTCTTTTTCAAAGAGTGAAAAGGTGAACTCATATCTTCCTTGTTTAGAGCTCTTGACAGGACCCTTTATCTGAAAAGATACAAGACAAAATTGTAGTTTGGTTTCAGACCAACAGCTACTGAATAAGAAATATTAACATCAATAAATATTATTTGAAAAATCTTGAAAGAGATTTAAAATTACTTAAAACAGGCCGCTTTGTTGCGCATCAGTTACAGGTGTGCAGTTCATGGCGTAATCGACACTTTTGACTCTAATTCTTGGCAGCAGTCTCACTCTAACCTCGAATTATTCCATACAAAAAGTAAAGAGCAAGACTCCCCCTCTCAGTCTGCGAAAACCCGATCTCAATGCGACGATATTTGACGATGCTGCAGTGTGTGTAAAATGTTCTGAATTTCATCAAATTCAATCTGTGTGTGTTGCACTTAATTCACTTTTAATTTCAAAAGTTGACAGTGAACCTCCACAAGATTTAGTCTTTAGTACATGCACCACCAGTGACATATTCGTTTTTTATGTTGTATAAATTTCATCACAGTCGGATGAACGGTTGTTGCGATACATTTAGTTGCTTTGATCTGATTCTCATCCAGTGATTTGTTATATTTGCCTGTGCAACTGTGTATGCTGGATTCTAGGCTGTTCTAAGTTCAACAGTTCTTAGCTAATTTCAAAGATTATTGTTTCTATGAAAGGCAGACATATTTGTGCTTCATGAGTATTCATTTCATTTTTGTTGATTGAAACCTGTTACGGTGTTAGAATCCATCTGCCCGAGATTCATTTCTTACAAATATTGAAATCTCCCAGTGGAATATATACTATCGAGAGACATACTATACCTCATCCCTGAATGAACTTTGTCATGTTAATGATGTTTGCGGGTTTAAGAATGTGAGTGAAGTACAAAAGTGGCTGAAAAGAAAGGCTAATTTAATACACGTGAGTCACTGCAAAGTGACATTTTGTTAATATATGATATTGACATGATCAGAGAAATATTCGAGGTTTATTTGCCACAAACTGTTGTGCAGTCCCGGCATTAAGAAGAATAGGACTGACGTGGTGCTAGCGTGTCGTACGAGGCGACTAAATGGAGAACCAAGTAGTGACTCCCGAAACAGAGTCATCCTGCCTCCAGGTCGGGGGTTGAGTCATGAGGTTAACAACCTCTCTCGTAAAAAGAACCTGTTACAGAAACACATGCAAGCAAAAACCATTTCTGAAACTTTCCGAAATCACAAAAGATTTCCCCTACCGGGTCTGTATACTTCGTGACTTTGTTCCCAGGTACCGGGTCTGTATACACTCCCTTTCTCTAAAACGTGAAATAACCAAAAGGGATATTCCTGGAATCATGCTTTAAAATGCCTACTACTACTATGCCTCCAATTTACTATCACTTTAAAAATTAAAATGGATTGAAAACATCCACATATGGGCCTCAGTTTGACTGTTCAGATTCTAGATATCTTTATCATTGAACTCCCTTCCCGCTACATTATTAAATAAGTCTGTGATCTTGTAGTTCCGTTTGTTAAAGTCCATGATCCATTTGTTTACATCCAGACAAGAAATCCAGAAGTCTTGAGGACCAAAATTACTATTTGAAATAGGCTACACAAAGAGTAGGGATGCAACCTAACTGCAAAACATCAAATTAGGATAAAATTCAGGAACCCACCCACCTCAATATTTTAATTAGGTCAGGGGGGGCCCCTGAAACCCCCCTACTCTTGACTTTTACGAACGAAAGTCTCTAAGTCTTCCATCATGGGAGCATGCAGTCTGTGTAACGGAAGGCAAGATCCTCCTTCCAGGCACTGTGCAAGTGACAAATTTGTTCTTTAATCAATCAAAATCAAGGGTTTCAACATTACCTATTTAATTTAGATCTAAAATTTATCTGCCTAGAAGAAAACATGACAAGTATTGGAGCTTATATAACATAGATCTAGATTCTAGTCTTATATTGGACTCTAGACTCTAGTAGTTAGATTCTAACTCTGTATTTGTGGGTAAGTTGTATTTTATTTTGTAAGACATTTTTTAGAGTGTATTTTGTAATGGCTTTTACCATCTCGAACCCAAATCCGCTTCTCCTACTCCACAGCCGTCTCTACCAGGCTAGGACCCAGTTCAAACAAACAAAACAAAACCCTGCCCTCTGCAGCAAAACAAAGTATAAAATAAAACGGTTCCACTAGCCCAATATCTAAACATAAAATAAAGCTTAACAACAACGGAATAGCGAAGAAAGAAAAACCCAACTATCCGAATCAACGAACTGCTGTACGAAATCCTTTTTTCAAAGGTAGCAACAATATAAACATTTCGAACTTACATTAATTAAAACAGTCCTGACATAGAAAAAGAGTGAGCAGTCGAGCTAACACAACCACAGTGCCTAAAGCTCTTCTTGAAAAGCGTCCTTAGGTGCAGCGATGGAGACGACGGCCATTTTTTATGACAATCACATAAATATGGTATGGTATAGCTAAACTTGGTTAAGATGACACATTCAATTTTTACTTAAAATTGTACATCTAAAAACTAAAAGATATTATTATTGGTAAAATGTGTTTTATGCAATATTTGTAAATCAAATTAGCCTATAGATTAATGGTTGTGAATATGTTGTATTTATTTACATATCTCCAACCGCACTGTCAAATCCACTATTTAGGGTCGTTGGCAAGAACGCTTACTGCATTCTGCGCTGCAGGAGGAGAGGGAGAGCATTATTTACCGAATAATTCAACCCACAGAATTCTACACTTAGATCTAGTATAGAACTCTGTGATTCAACCTCAAATCGATCTTTGACGAGACATATGTAGTAGGCCTAGTATATTGCTTTTGGAATAAGAAGCAGTAAGTCAGATTCTTGTCATATCGTCTGTGGTAAGGCCACCTCTATTATGCAGGCGGGTCTTGTGGCTATTCTCACCCGGTGCGCGTGTCAACAAATTTTGCGTTCACCCTAAACCACAGAATTCTACACTGTGATAAGAGAAAAATTGTAGAATTCTGTGCTGTGAACAAACGTTCCATTACAACTGTACTTGTAGCCTACTAAAAGCGTACAATTTTGTCTGTGGGCAGGGGAGAGAGAGAGAGTGAGAGAGAGAACAAAACAAAATGGCGACCCGCGTAGTTCGGCTCGATTCGAAAAGTTAAATAGCCGTAGCATCTTTGTAGACAACCAAATTAATTTACTTTTGTGTTTTAACATCATTTTTTAACTTTGTTTTGGTCAATTTGATCGTCCACACCGATAGACAGTATTCAGAAAGAGACAGAGAGAGAGAGAAGAGGGGAGGAGTAGATCTTGCGAGAACTTCCGGGCGGGTGAGAATAGCCACTTTCCTGTGGTAAACGTGGAGAAGAGCATACACGATGAGTGATCATCCCCTTGCCATGGTTTCTTTAGGGGGCTGTCGCTGTCACTTTAGCCTCCAGACTCCAGAACTTAGACTTACAGATCTAGATATCTAGATCTAGAATATTAGGCCTATCTACCTTTCAGCCAGAATTAATATGGATTTTCCTTTTAAAAATCTGCGATTAGTAGATTCTAATAGAATTTGCGTGAGGCAGGTTTTGTATCATCAAGCAACAATTTTGGATTTTGATATCTACCATACCAAAACTAAAAACATTATCTTAAATAGGGTGAACATCAGCTCAAGAGAATCGAGTTTACAATTTACAGAAAAAGCAGGTCTATTTGTGGATCTAGGAGAGGAATATAGTAGTCTCCGCTTAAGATCCCACCACTTATAATTATATTTATGGTCCAATGGTTCTCCTAAGATCTCGCTGTTTTGGAAAACCAGAATTTTTTACTATAATAAAGTCACCCCTAAGGTCCTGTGCTGAAGGAGCTACATTTGGCTAAGATCCCTCTTTTCAGGTCATAATTTAGTAATTTTTTTCTTTGTTTAAGAAAAAAAAAAAGGAATAAAAAACGTGGGCGCGCTCAGCTCGATCAACCTTAAGTACCAGTGCGCTCATTGTACGGTCCGTCACCTCACGGATAATTCACTCTCATGAATGCAATCACATCTCTGTTGTAAATCTCGATAATTATAAGCAGCTACCAAGTTTACCCTAGACGGGATTGCACCAAAGTGTGAACTCATCGATTTTTTCCCCGAACACCTGAGTCACTCCTGAGCCGTCCCTCTGATGTTACATCACGCTCTAGGTGTGGAGGGCCTATACATGCAAGCGTCAAGACTGCATCGTATCGAACTGTGAACTCGTGGATGCTTACGTTTTCCCGACCATCGCTGTCATCTTTCAGTTTTGCGCTCTAACTTCCAAGACAGACTGGCGCCCATACTCGTGGCAATCGGCTCTGTTTAATGGAGTCATCTGGCAGTGAATCTGGCTTTCATTTTAAAAATAATAATTTTTTAATATGGTTGGTGTGGTCACATCTCAAAGATTTATGATGCACCATGACATGGGCGGGGAACTCCGTTAGAAATTGAAAACAATAAATTTTTGGTTGGGGGCATTGCTTGAAGCCAACTGGTTCCCACCTGACACAGTATTTTTAAAAACTCCCCCCCCCCCCCCCCCCCCCCCCCCCAGAAGTTTCGTCAGTTCATTTTAAAGTTGGGAAGATCATTGTACAGATTATGGGCCTGACCATGAGTTACTCTGGATTCTTTCCCCTGGCCATTTGGCTAAGATCCTGGTTTCACCTAAGATCCCGCATAATTTTCCTTGCTCACAAGCACGGGGATCTCAGACGGAGACTACTGTATTTGATTTGCAATGATCTTGATTTGGAAAGTGACTCAGATTCTAGATCTAAAATTTTTGAGGTGTCATTCTAAAATTACACCTTCAAATCAAATTTTCATTAAAATTAAAATTACCGTTAAGAACTTAGTTACTTACTTTTGTAGAATAGTCATTGCAGATGGCACAGTATATATATATGCCATAGCTGCTCATGATCCTTCCTCTCCGGGATCCATGAAAGGGTCTGCTTATTATCTATAGTACTGACATACAGTCAAACCTAACTTATGTTTATTCTGCCTACACGAGTGTATATATGAAGTTGGCATACAGCAAGGCTGGCGGTGTTATAATGGGATTGCACTGATTGCCACCTTGACTGGTGGTAGACCAGTAGAGAACTGATGAAAACTGGCCAGTCTTGCCCCATCTGTTGTCTTGGGCGATTGCCATGTGCAGGGGATGAACATTTTTAGCAATCATAACTAGATCTATATGTACAGATCCAACTGAACCTTATGTAAATTCAAATTGAAAATTTCTGTCAGATAAGGCTATAAGTGTCAACATCTCTGTAGACGTACTGTTTTTTTTTACCCGATACCTGTCAGTCCTTAGGCCGCCTTGCAGACAATAAGATATATTTACATGATAGACTTGAGCATGAGTTCTCACAATACAATTTAAACCTCATATGCTTACGGGCGCCTGCTGCCAGTCGTAATTGTTCATCGGGCTGATATAATCTAGCGAAAGGATGGTATTTGCAGCAGGCTGAAGTGGCACAGGTCCTTTTGAAGTTTACTTGGAGAAATTGGGCGTGATCACCTCAGTTCAGTCCAAATGTTATGTTGAAACAACAGTTGTGAACTTAATTTGCTTATATATTATAAATGTTTCAATTCTCAGTCCCAGACTAGAGACTGCAAGTAAATGAATGAAATCTGTTTACTGTTGCATTAACTGTGTTCTTGTAAAATATTACAGCAAGAAACGATCAAGATAATATGGTACAGGCATTGTGTGAAGGATGGGTTGTTAAGTTTGTGTGTGTGTGGGGGGGGGGGGGGGGGGGGGGGGTATAACATGCTTTGCTTCTTACCCTTTGAAATAATGACTGGAAGACATCACATTCTATAATATGTTATGTGTTCATGAATACAATCTATAAGGGAAATTATTTTTTTTTACTAGGACCGCAGGAAATCGTTAATTCCCTAAGTGTATTTTGAAAAATCTCTTATCTGTCTTTATTGCAGCACTACACCTATAACCTGTGAGGCTTATCATCAGTATTGATTGAAGAAGCTGACACAGCGATTGACCATGGACATGGGAGGTTTTACTGTTGTTGGGAGCAGACCTCCATCTGCCCTTTCTAGTTCCAGGTCGTCTTCTGCTCTTGGGAAACACTATGGATACCATACAATGGCCAGGAAGTCGGCTGTTGATGAATCATTGTTCGGGTGAGAATTGAATAACCTAGACACAGTTAGATTTTTTTAAAAGTACAGTTGTGTCAAGATGCAGTGTAATCGGATGCTGGCAGTTTTTGGCCATATACAGAGTCATTCGTGTAATCTTAACACCTGTTCATTTGCCTTCCTTTTGGGGGGAAAAAATATCCATCTATCATGAATAGAAGTAGTTATATTTGCCATTAGAGGAGGTGGAGGTCGCCTGGCAGGGTTGGGTTGATTTAAATCAGGTTGATTTAAATCAGTTGATTTTTAAAATTTAAATCAACTTGATTTTTAAAATAAAAATCAGTGATTTAAATCACTTTAAAAATTTTTAATTTTTATTCAGTTTTTACATATTTCAACATTCAGAATTCCTTTCCTAGGTTTCATAAAACAGATATAAGGTTTAGTACACTAATATAATCATGCTTAAAAGTCTGCTTTCCCCCCTTTCACTGTAAAATAATACAGTATTCAATTTACTTTTTTTCCCCATAATTCGTCCCTCTAAACACGTACTAGCGTAAGCCACATCTGACCCGAAATCGAGTTATAGCAATCACGCGATTCCCTTTATCCGATACTACATCCTCTCAAAAGATCGTAGGAATCAAGCAATAAATAGCTGAGATATAGTCGATTCCAGTTTGAACGTATCCCACTTGGCCACAAAAAGATACAGCACGTACTAACACACTGTTGGTTACGCTAGTACGTGACGTACACTTTGACCCAATGTTGTGTTTTTATTATACGGCACATACTAACGTAAGCCACACAGCCAGGGCTGAGCCTATGGCAAAAAAACATCACGCAGCGCTGCTAGAGAGCGGGAAGACAAGCTACACACGTGAGTAGTGTGCTTCGTGTGAGACAATGAAGGCTCAGACTCCACTTCTTGAAGTCCCTTTTTACTCGTCCTTCGTTTACAAATGGGATCCCGCTCTGAACAACCACTCTTTTTTTGACATGTAGCCTACTGTTCAAACTCTGATTGACATTCAGAACCCTGGTGAAGTCTTAAGCTTACAGACTGCAGAAAGTCATGGGTGTCCTTCCGCCACTGAGAACTTTAAGGGACAAATAGATGCACGTATGTGCTTCAAGGACATTGATTTGCTTTTTGAGGCAGACAGTGATGAAATGTCAGTGTGTGGCTACGACTCATTTGGCGATTCGGAATTCAATCCTGGAACATGCAAGGTCAAAGGGTGCAATGCTGAAGTATGGTTGGCTTGTCCTGATAGTGAAATCCTTCTTTGCTTGGATCATATCAATGAAGAGATTATCGTGTGTTCAACATAAAAAAAAGCACAAGAAGGTCAAAGGAAAAAATCAACAACGTGTAAAAGCTGTAGGTAGGCCCTCACAGTCTAAGATTCCCGCTGGTGTAAATATGAACACTGATGCTCCCGATCAGTTTCAGACAAAGGAAACAGTCATTGATGAGGGGGGAGGAAGAATGCAAAGATCAGTTCCCGAGCAGTACACAGTGGAGGGAAGTCGGAAAGAAGTCAGAAAGGAAAAGAAACTCAGATCAAACAAACAGAAGGAAGCCAAAACGAAGAGGAATTTGGGACAAGAGTACACAAGCATGTACCACATGTTCATCCAGGGATGGATACCCAGGACAAGGCCATCAAGCTTCACTACATAAAACGATGTATTTAAAAGTAAAAATCCACCAGCCCAAGAAAGACCAGTGCTCTCTTTGTGTCAATTATCACCAAGGAAATGAAGAAACAAAGATAGGTCTTAGGGGAAAGTTTGAGATCCATGTGTGAGAAAAAGAAAAGGTCAGGGAAATATAGGATCTATGCAAGAAAGAGGCTCAGGAAAGTGAAAACAATCTCTGTGCAAGTTTTGATTTGCAGCTGGTGATTTACCTTCCTATGTCTCAGGACAGAGCCATCTTTTACAAAAGATGATTGTCGAACTACAACCTCACTTTCTATAACATTGCTAACAGAGATTGTCACAGCTTCACTTGGGATGAATCGCAAAAGCAAACGGAAATTTCAACTACAGTCCACCTTGCCCTGAAGTTTTATGACGACCGTGGCATCAAAAAAGCTTTTCTTTTTGCCAATGGATGCAGTGGTCAGAACAAAAATTCGATTATGCCTTCGATGATTTTGTATGCTGTGAACAATAGTGTGAATCTTGAAGAGATTTTATTGAGGTTCTCTGAAACAAACCATGGTCAGAACGAGGGTGATTCTGCACACAGTGCAATAGGACATGCCCTGAAGAGGGCTGGGGATTTTTTCCCTTTTTCTCAGGTAGCAACAGTGTTGTCTCTCGCTCGACCTCAAAAGCCTCACCTGGTCAATCAGATGCAGTCTAAAGACTTTCTGGATCTCAAAGGCTTATCAAAGGACTTGAGAATCCTGGACGCACGATCTGATACGGAAGACACATTTTCGTGGAACAATATCATGGAACTGTGAGTCACTAAAGAACATCCAGATAAAGTCTTCTACAAGACGAGCCACTTTGACTGTTCATTCAAAACCCTGTCCCTCAAGAGACTGAAAAATAATGTAAAGGACTGTGCACTTCAGAAACTGAACTCAGGGCCAACAAACATTTCGAGAAAAAAAATTCACTGATTTGGCTTCACTCTGTTCTGGTCACACATCAGTAATTAAACTGGAAGAGCACAAAAAGCTTTTTATCTTTCCTTGCCCTATGAGTAGTTGGCTGTGAAGGTCTCCTTTGGGGCGAAGCTATTCTACTTTGTTCGCTAAGGTGCAACTCCAGCTTAAGTATATGGCAGTCAAGTAATGACACAAAATGTATTTAATTTCACATTTTCTTCTCTATTTCTGAGTTACTGCTTATTAGTCTTTGAAATATGTCATTGAATTTACATCTCTACAGCAAGATCATGTTCCCAATAAGCCTAAGTGGAGCTCTAACTCTAGTAGAAATGTTCCCTGAATTCTTTATTATTTGTTTTAGCAAATTTGAAAATTTAATGAGCACATACTAGCTCAAGTTTTTTGTAGCTTGTTTTGTTTTTAGTAAAGTACTGCTTCCCATATTAAAAAGAATAGTGTTTCACAAATGTGAGTTGGTACATAATAATAACATTTTCTGTAAAGAATAGTCCATAATGAAACGTTTGTTTAAGCAGTAGATAGCTGCAGTAATTATTTAATTTTAAATTGATTTTTTTATCATGTACAGTTGGCGGCTGTATATTCCGAGTTGTTGTTAACATTGTCATTTGATACGGATAATACAGCCCGTGAATTTTAACCAAATCGATCTTTCTTTGTATTTTTTTTGTTATTTGGAAGTTACAATTTAGGCGTAAGCCACGCAATGAACACATTATGCTTTAGAATACAAAAGCACGTACTAACGTATCCAACAATCTAGTAACGTAAGCCACACATTGAGGCTTTCATTGATGTAGCACGTACTAGCGTATCCGACAAAAAGGTCATTTTTCCTTCAAAACCAACTATTCTCACAAAGATGCTTCTAGCCAATTGAAAAGTAGTTGGCCCACACACGTTATGTCAAAATATTAAGGGCAGGGCCGGCTATTTGACGCCACAATGGGATGGTGAAAATCGCCCAAATCTTTAAACGTCTCTCCTGCAAAACTAACAAAATTTGGCTTACGCTAGTACGTGTTTTGAGGGACGAATTGAAATCAGAGCTGGGTTGATTTAAATCAGTTGATTTTTATATTTTAATCAACTTGATTTTGTGATTTAAATCCCTTTTTAAAAAATGTATTCTGTTATTACATATTTAAACATTCAGAATTCATTTCCTTGGTTTTATTTAACAGATATAAGGTTTAGTAGACTAATATAATCATGCTTAAAAGTCTGCTCCCCCCCCTGTCACTGTAAAATAATACAGTATTCAATTTTCTTTCTTTTCATAATTGAAAACCAGGGTTGGGTTGATTTAAATCAGGTCGATTTAAATCAGTTGATTTAAAAAAATTTAAATCAACTTGATTTTAAAAATAAAACTCAGTGATTTAAATCACTTTTAAAAAATGTATTGTTTTTACGTCTTTAAACATTCAGAATTCCTTTCTTTGGTTTTATAAAACAGATATAAGGTTTAGTAGACTAATATAATCATGCTTAAAAGTCTGCTTTCCCCCCTGTCACTGTAAGTAGTAAATTAATACAGTATTCAATTTACTTTTTTTTCATAATTGAAATTAGCATTTTCTTTTTCTTTTTAGACAAACACAAGCGCGCACACACACACACGCACACTGTGATAAAATACAAGTTTATCTATGCATAATTACCCCCCTCTCCTCCTTTCCTTTTAGACTGACATTTTCTTCATTTTTTGTCTGTAGCCCTAATTCACTGATAATAGCAGATTAAGGCTTCCTTTTGCAGTTGCTTAAATTAATCATTAGTTAGAATAAAGACAATGCATTCTGCACTAAAAGAACATACTTTTAGCCACCAAAAATCCCAAACTGTGTCGACATTTAAAAAAAAATCAAAAAAATTAAAAAAATCCGATTAAAATTTAAAAAATCTGATTTAAATTTTAAAAATCGATTTTTTTAAATTTTTATTTAAAAAATCAAAAAAATCACCAACTCTGTCGCCTGGTTTCAGAGGTAAAAAAAGTGAAAAAATGGCCGCCAAAGCTTGGGGACTTCCATAGCTTGAGAGTCCTTGGAAATTGAAAATTTACATTTTTTGTTCCTTTAATCAATGTTTTTCAGGAAAATCCACATAGAAAAGGAAAATTCAAAAGAGAATTGCCCAATGGCCAGAAAAATGCTGGTTTCTTTGATTCAATTATTTTGACGAGCACCTGATTTCACCGCAGTGCCTCATATTTTTCTTTTAGACACTACAATGATATTTTGCTTTGGTTCATGTTCAAAGCCATGAAAAAGTCACCAGAATAAATTCCCTTTATAATAAATACCGTACTTTGTAGCGTTGGGGACACATGTGCCTGTCGTCATTATGGCTCAAGAATGCATGCACGTCACTTTTCTTTTGCCGAATCTTCTGATTCAACAAATTTAAAGGAGGGCCCTCAAGATTTCATTGGATGCAATTTTCACTGTACCTTTGTTGTTTCTAGTAATCGCCAGTCCATATCGAACCCTGCCCCGCTTCCTACCCCCGCCATGACCCCAGACTTAACTCGTAATATAGATCTTTAATCAAACACCATTACACCACGCTGTTGGGCTCAGTTAACATAAGTTCAGAGAACTCAAAATCATGGATAACTCATATAATTTTCCATTTCCCGACTTAACCCCCATATTTTTTTAAAACTGGCAACACTGTCTTTTCAGACACTCATACGAATACAGCTTGTCAACAACCCCTCCCCCAAAAAACAACAACAATAACAAACAAACAAATAAACCAAAAAAACTTAAAATTTTTCCTCACAACTGTCTAGCGAGCACAAAGCAATACAACACATCCATAGTCATGGAGAGTGTCAGGTTACATGAGACCGCAAGGCCCACTCCCGCATGGCGTGATATACAAACATTGCTGGCACTGAATTGCATCATTGCGCTTAACCCGTAGTGTAGTGTAGGCAAAGCACTAGGCCTTCCTTCACTTTAGTCATGTGAGGGTGCTGTCTAGGTGCTGGGTGCTAAGGTGTGATCGAAGACAAATATATTGTAGTGCTTCTTGGGACTGTATGTGAATAATGTTGGTGTTTGAGCGCTTAATCAGCTGCTTGCGCTGTATGCTCCCCGGGAAGCTGAGAATGTTTCAGAGTGTTCTATGGTCTGCTGGGGTAATAATGTAGTGTAAAGCGCATCGGAGCTTGCTGTCGAGCTATTTATTATTTATTATTATTATTTATAATGTTTGTGTGTGTGTGGTTTGAACGTGAAGGTGGGCCATTTGGATCGGGAAGTGGTTATGCGAAAGGGGAGGATGGCGGGCTTTGACCAGTGTTTGATAGATTGTCATGATCAGAATCTGAAGTAAGACTAAGTTTTTAAAGAAAAGAAGTGTAATTAGTTATAAGGCTCTTCAACATTCATCTTTTTCAATTTCATTGCTTCGACGCTAAACAAGGCACTGCGGGTGTTGAGAATGTTGCGTACAGATTGAGGAATTTCTATCAAAATATCTGAAAGAAATAACGTACGCTTTTTTTCTTTTTACCTTTTAAAAAAGTATGACTTTACTTTCAAAATGAATCTCAAATTTTGATAGATATTAAATTTAGAATTTGTAACGGTCTTCCTCTGATTGTATTCTGTTTGATACCACTCCGCTTTTCTTCCAGATCATATCATCATACAAAGCTGAGTGAGGAGATCAATTTCAAAGCTCCCTGGGAAGAGCCCAAGCCACCACCACCAAAAAACACATTTGGAGTCACAAAGACGGTGAAAGTCCCACAGAAAAAGAAAATGGGTCCACCTCTTCTGTGGTGTCCAACGCCCGGAACACAAACCTACACCAGGGAGAGTAAGAAAGGAAACTCGTCTCTCGACTGTTCCGGCTACATGTGGAGCACTAGAGACCAGTACCGCCATCTGAAGCACACACCGACCTACGTCGATGAATCTTTATTTGGGAACGGTTTGGAAGAGCCGTCGTTTGAAGCGCCGTGGAATGAAAGGAAGAAGGGGGAGAAGAAAAAACAGCGGCCGTACTTGTGGGATCCATCAGGAGAAGCAGAGATCAACGGCCACAATGGGATTGAGATTTCACTTTCTGGTAAAAATGTCAGAAGTAGAAGCACTAAGCGGCCTGCCACATCTCTTGGAATATCGCGTAACAAAGACCGTGGTGGACCATTACCTGTCTGGAAGCCGTAAAGGTTTTCACTGATCTACTGGGTTATACATTTTTAAAATTATAATATTGACTCAATAACGGTCATTTAGTGCTGGGGAAACAAGTGAGGTAGACATATGTATTGACCAAATGAGGGATACTCAAAGAAGTTAATCCTATCAGTGCACTCTCCTCCAATCTCCAGCCAGATTTTCTGGAATTTAACGTAGGTTGTTATGAGATGTTGTCATTCTGAAGATATGTTGACTCATTTTTTGCTACAACTTAAGTACTCTGTAGGCCCACTATTCTGAGTGAAATTCAGATGTTGCATTGGTTACATACATTTGCAACTACAACCACAATATATAATGCCAGATTGACCCAAAATTTGTCCATGAAAGTATTCATTATCATGGAATATGGACAAATTGAAGCTTTCAAAAGGTCAGTTGAATTCATCAACACTCCCTACCAGTTATTTTCTATGTCAGAAGTTGAAGCTTTCTTGTATAAATTAATGAATACTTTTATGCTGTTGCTATTACTGGTAATGCTGTTGCTGTCAGTGGTAATTTTTAATTGCTATAGTATTAGTTTAGTATAGTAGATGTGGTGGCGGTAGTCTAGTGGTTAGTGTTGGGCTGCAGTACTTGCAGTGGAAAAGTGTGGGTTGAAATGCATTACATGTATAATCAAGACTTATAGTTGTGTCCATAGGAAAGACTTCATATACATTTTTCTCATGTCACCCAAGTGAAAATGGGTACCCTGCTAAGGCAGTGAAAGACTTTGCCTATTTGTTAAGTTAGTTTTTTGGATCTGTTTGAGTGCTTGTGTAATTGTAATGGCAGTGTATGTTGAATGCCTCCCAGGAAGCTGAAAATGTTTCAAAACAAGTCCTGTTAGGGTAAAAGCTACCTTTCTAAGGTATACAACTATTATAACCTACCTTTGATTTTGAGCAGTGATGTGCACTATGTAAATGTAGTCTATTAATGTTATTTATAGATGTTGCTTATATAATGTAGTTTCTCTTTGAAACTGTGAATTTCTGATCTCGACTACATGAGCCAGTTTTCCTCCTTTTTTATTGCCATGCAGTGTCGGTCCAACTTTACTTCAGCAAACGGGCCAAGTTGCCCAGATGGAAGGCTTCTAATTCAGTGAATCTTGGATTCAATGAACTCAGGTTTAATAAAAGAACAAGCATTCCCCATTTATTTGTTCACAAAAACCAAGGAAATACCTCTTATATTATATTACAAACATGTGAATGAGCAAACTTGGATTTAACAAAGTTGCTTACGGTGCTATCAACCCCTTTAATTGATGAGGCTTCACAAACCTTTCTTCTGTATTGAAACTTAAACCCTATCTTCTTTGCCTATTCTCTGCATCGTGCAAGTAAGATTCTGTATGTGTCAATTTCTTCTCTATTGCTCCAACTGATTTCATTCAATTTACTACAAGGTCATTGTTGATAAAACAGTGAGAATCAATTTTATGAACTCTTTTTAATGTAAACATTAAAACATCTTCAAGATCGCATAGGAGCTTTTTGGGGGGCGAGAGTAAGTAACGGAGCATCAATGGACATGTCTGGAATGCAGGGATGTTGCTTCCTTAAACTATGAACAATAATGTGTTATCGTAAAATGTAATCACCCAAAAAAAGTAAGTCGTAACTCTGAGATAGAGAATTTAAGCACTGGGCCTTTTTAGTCGTACATATATTAACATACCTTTAATTTAAAGATTTACACATTTAGATTGTGTTTCTAAATCAACAATATTATTTTCAAAATCTATTTTTATCTGTACATTCCAAGTCAGGCTAGAACAATAAGTTGTCTTGATTATAAAAAATGTCTAACTGGAGTTTGGCTGTGAGATACATACATATCATGTATCATGTAAGAAACGTTTATTGGTTGCTTGCATGTATTATGTTTGTTATTTTAAAAAAATCATTTGAGATGCATTACTGATCATAACATGCTCTCCCACTTGCTCAATTCTGTTGTGTGTGAGAAATGTTTCTTTGATGAATCTGAGGAGTCTATGGCTGTGTCAGGATTCTCTACAACTACGAGTGACTAAATATTGTACTATTATCCGTCAAAGTCGGTGCACCTTAAATGTTCTTTATTAATTTTAAAATTTACTTTGAACTTAAGAGCTTTCTTAATTTGTCGTATGCAGAGCTATTTACTATTATGACTATTATGATTGCTTCAACTTGAAGAATTATACTGGGTTTTTTTCTCTTCTAAATTTGAACGTTTGTTGCATCTCCGATTCTGATTTGTTTGTTTTTTTCTTTGGCACTGCCTGGCCTAGTTTGTTTCTTTACCCATGTTTTCAGTTGTTTCCTACCCCATGTTTTCAGTTGTTTCCTAACCCATGTTTTCAGTTGTTTCCTAACCCATGTTTTCAGTTGTTTCCTACCCCATGTTTTCAGTTGTTTCCTAACCCATGTTTTCAGTTGTTTCCTAACCCATGTTTTCAGTTGTTTCCTAACCCATGTTTTCAGTTGTTTCCTAACCCATGTTTTCAGTTGTTTCCTACCCCAATTACAACGCTTAAAATACTTGCCTCTATGTGGGAGTGGGAGGCCCCGTTGGGCAATCTGCGAGCAAAGTATGAAATCCCTTGCCAGGCTTAGTTTTTTAAAGACTTCTATAACGGACACCGCACTGGCTTACTGTTGAGAAAAGAATTATGTACAAATTGGCCACTATATGTCACAAATGCTAAAATTGATAATGTGCCATCAAGTTTATCAAATCAGTTGAAACTGTACACCCCAAACTCACAGTTTATGCTCATCAGCTGACAAATTTTTTTTTTTTTATACCATCTATTAAACTTAATGGGTGATAAAGCATTTGTATAGAGGGTCTCAAGACCTGGAATGGTTTGCCCAGTAGTTTTAGTTTAAGAGATGTGATTTTTTAAAAATTCATTGAATTGAAGTGTTAGCTTTTTAAGTTATTTCTATTATATTAAAATTAATGAAAAAAAATCCCAACAAAATACTGTTTGTGGTTAGTACTGTATATAACTGAGAGCATTTCTTGGGAGCAACTTACTGGGGCATTACTAAGTGCTGTGTCTTTGTTTGGAATTGGAGTGGAAAAAGATTTACGATAAGTCAATGTATGAATCTTTGTTTACTTGAACTTGAATGTAACCAAAGTCTAAGCCTGCGTTGTATGTTATGAAAGTTTGCTTTGGAACTGATTAATATAAAGCTGAAGGAAGTGTTTTAGTTTGTATACACATATGAAACTGAAACCAGGGTGCTTCTGTGACTTGTAATAATAAAATGCTATGTTTTAAGGATATTCTTTTGCTTCTTTGCCAAAATTCAGTCTCAGTGGTTAAGAATATGTCACATGCATTCAGATGTATGGTACATGTATGCTATATAGCGTCAACAAGCTGTTAAAATGGTTCAAGCCCAGAAAACAAAATTTTTAAAAATTTATATTTATAGGAGAGAGAAAAAAACCTGTCGGATTCTTTTAACCATTGTGCTGACACATTATGTGCTTTTCCCTTATGTTTAGACAAATGGAATTTCTACCAAATATTTCTTGAGCACATGCAACTGATAACACAAATTAACGACACTGAAAATTTGTTTAATCTCAAAATTTTGGGCTTAGTACATTTTTTTTACAGCTAGCCAATGATAGTAGGGGGGGTTGTAAGGGGAAGGGGG